ATCCATTAGCGAAGAAACTAAGGTCTCTTCCAGATCAGTTCTGCTGAAGTGTCCCTCTTGGCTATAACCCAGCTCCATCCACAGGTGGTATTTCCGCCTGGATACTCTCCATTTGGATAAAGGAGAACATGCTCCTCAGGCATTGAGCAGGACTTTCTCTCTCTTTGTTCACAAAGTAGAGCACTGAATATAATGAAATATGGCACATCATCAATACCCCCTATGCAGAAACTGCACGGAATGGTACAGCTGAAAGATTCCTTGAAGAGGAAAAGAAAATCGTATTGCAACTTTTATTTGGAGTTTGATTACTTCATTGTCTTTTACCCTCTGGGTGAAGGGGCAGCCAAGAAAAACACATTCTGTGTGATGCTATGGGCTCGGATCCTTGGTTTTGAATGCTGCTCAGACTTGGCACCAGGAAAGGAAAAGAGGTGCTTTGCATCAGCCCCAAAACCAAACATTTCCCCCAATGTAGATTATCACATTCTTCCTTCGAATACTAATAGGTAATCATAACTCAATGTTTATTGAGTATTGACTAAATAGCATGGTATTATTCCAAGTATTTTACATATATTACTGCATTTAGTACTTACACACCCTATGAAGTAGAAACTATCAATGTCTTCATTTTATAGATAAGGAAATTTATGCACAGAGAAGTTAAGTAACTTTCCTGAGGTTAGATAGCTAAAAAGCAAGTAGTGAAGCTAAGATTGGAACGTAGAAAGTCTGGCTTCAAAGCCAGTGTTCTTAACCCTTCAACCATACGTTTGCATTTTAGATTTTATGAGAATAACTAAGATGAAATCTCTGCTCTGATGGTGTATTCAGCCTGGTAAAGATAGGTAGATAAACAGATATAACACACACATTTAGAGCAAAGATGAACTGTTTTCTCTGTTTAGTATCACTCCTATTCTATCTCTCATATTAGCTGTCCTTATTTTTTGTTTATTTTTTATTTTTCTGAGACGGAGTCTTGTTCTGTTGCCCAAGCTGGAGTGCAGTGGTGCGATTTTGGCTCACTGCAGCCTCTGCCTCCTGGGGTCAAGCGATTCTCCTGCTTCAGCCTGCTGAATAGCTGAAATTACTGGAATGCACCACCATGGCCAGCTAATTTCTGTATTTTTAGTAGAGATGGGGTTTCGCCTTGTTGGCCAGCCTGGTCTTGAACTCCTGACCTCAGGTGATCTGCCTGTCTTGGCCTCCCAAAGTGCTAGGATTACAGGAGTGAGCCACCACACTCAGCCTATTTGTCCTGATTCTAATTTGACTCAATGATTTAGAATCAACAAGCACGTTATAACATGTCAGGTACCTATGAGGTGATCATTAAATAGTTGAGAGAACAAATAAATAAAACAATTATCAGCCAGGCACAGTGGCTCATATAATCCTAGCATTTTGGGAGGCTCAGACAGGAGGATCACTTGAGCCCAGGAGTTCCAGACCAGCCTGGGCAAAATGGCAAAAACCCTGTCTCTCTCAAAAAAAAAAAAAAATTGGTCTGGCATGGTGTTGTATATCTGCAATTCCAGCTACTTGGGAGGCTGAGGTGGGATGATGACCTGAGCCCAGGATGTCAACGCTGTGGTGATTTGTGATCCCATCACTGCTCTCCTGCCTGAGCGACAGAAATGAGACGCTGTCTAAAATAGTAATAGTAATTAGCAAATGAATGAACATGGTCCTATAATGAGGCTTTAAGAAAGTAAGGCACTATGGAAGGTAATAGGCTCTTAAGCAAATACCTGCTTTTTTTCTTTCTATCCAGCACTATCCCTCAACCTCCCTCCTTAATTTGTGGAGCTGCCCCTTTCCCCAGCTCCTCCCATGTTATTCCCACTGGAGCTGTGACAGCTTTGCATAGCAACACCCCTGGCCTTAGCTGACTGGCCATGGGTGAGCTCTCAAAATGAGTGGGGCCAATCAGTTATCCTCCTTAGGAATTTTGGAAGCAGGAGAAAGAAGATCGGTACCACTTTTCCAGGTAGTCAAAGCTGTACAATTAAAAAAAAAAAAAAAAGATATCTGTTGGCCTCCACATTTTCAGCCCTGGGGAGGCAGCTTGTCTGTGTCCCAAGAGCTCCGTAAATCTTTATGATAATATGCAGCTAAGAGCCAAAGATGAGAGATGGAAATTACTTCTGACATCGTTCAAGTCTCTGTTTCCAGACACTTAACCTCTCTGAGGTTTCATTTTCTCTTTTATAAACTAGAGAGGGGTGGATTACATCCTGTGAGGCTGCAATCCTACCATTCAAGAAAAAGGGGGTCTAACCAGGCAACAACGTCCACACAAGGGGAAAGTTCACTCACTCCCCTGTATTCGAACTCACAGTCTCCAGCACCAGAGTAAAACCAACTGAAGGAATCCAATTCCTTTCGAGCTTCAGTTCCACCAGCACAGATGATATGCCCTGACTGATGACATGAACAGGTAAGTTTCTATAATAGGAGTGTCTCATGGTCTCATGTTCTCATGAACAAAATGGCATGCTAAGTTTACAAAACTGGCCTCCTGTGTCTTTGGATGCCATGAGCCATTTCTCAGGGTCTGCCCACACAGAGAAACTCAGCATTCAAATTCTGTTCCCATAGGAAAGCCCATAGCCACTTGGTTCATTCATACCAAGCACCCAGCCTAACAAGATGGTTTCTAGGCCCATTACAAGGCTATGACGCTCTCTGCTGAAGAAACACAGTACCAGTAGTGAGTTCCAAAACCACATCACGGCTCAATGCAAACAGTCCTTTAGATTCTCTAGAACTGTTTTTCACATCTTGCTCTGAGCATCCTCAGAGCAAGGAGGTAGTTTAAATGAGATGGTCTTCTGTAGGCTTCAACTGCTGCAGCTCCATCTGACATGCTTTAAATATTTGGGTTTTGCATATAACATGTAAAACATTCTGACATTTTCTATTTTCTTTCTTTTTTGAGTCAGGGTCTCACCCTGGTCACACAGGCTGGAGTGCAGTGGTGCAATCATAGCTCACTGCAGACTCGACTTCCTGGTTCTTAAGTGATCCTCTCATCTCAGCCTCCTAAGTAGCTGGGACTACAGGTGTGCACCTGTACCTTGTGTATCACCACGCCAGGCTAACTTTTTTCTTTTTCTTGGAAAAGGAGTCTCACTCTGTCGCCCAGGCTGGAGTGCAGTGGTGTGATCTCTGCTCACTGCAACCTCCACCTCCCAGGTTCAAGTGATTCTCCTGCCTCAGCCTCCCAAGTAGCTGGGAATACAGGCATGTACCACCACGCCCAGCTACTTTTTGTATTTTTAGTAGAGACGGGTTTCACCATGTTAGCCAGGATGGTATCGATCTCCTGATCTCGTGATCCGCCTGCCTCGACCTCCCAAAGAGCTGGTATTACAGACGTGAGCCACCGTGCCTGGCTGCTATTTTTTATTATTATTATTTTTTGGTAGAGACAGGGTCTTACTATGTTTCCTAGGCTTGTCTTGAACTCCTGAGCTTAAGCAATGCTCCCACCTCAGCCTCCCAAAGTGCTGGGACTGTGTGTGTGGGTCACCATACCTAGCCCTATTTTATTTTTTTTTAGAATATAAAAAGAAGCTATGGCCCACAAAACTAATGTCATGATCCCTTAATGGACCCCAACCTGAAATATGAAAAGCATTACTTGGGCATGCCCACAAAACACATTCCAGCTGGGATTTGTATCAAATGAATTCATTAGGTCAAAGGTCACCAACCAGTTCCCATACACAGCAAGGGCCCTTTGAACTTAAGCCCCACTTGGCCATCTAGCATACTGTCAGAAACAAAACCTAGGTGTTATCTCCAGAAGCTCTAGATGGAGACATGTACATTCCAGGACTCTAGCCTTGCTTGGGGAGAAAAAAAATAAGCAGAAGGTTATGTGGCGCAGGGTCTGTATTCTCACACAATTGCAACTAACAGGAGCTGAAGTAGATGTCTGAATTCGTTGCCTCCACTCTCTCCCAAAATGTAAGTTCTGAACAGTAAGCAATTCCAAGACCACGTGGGCTCACCCCAGGGCTTCCAAGTCCGTCCACCTGCCAGGCCTCCTGCTGAAAATCCCTTCTCACCATGGCTTCTGCAAGTCTGGCCAGCTCTCCTTTTGATAAATGCCCTTTGCCAAGATGCAGGTCAGTGTAATTTTCCAAAAGGTTAGGAGGAGTGACTGCTCAGAGAGGGCTCGCTTATTATTTCAAATGCCACGCATCCCGTTCTCTAACATTTACTGAGTTATTTACAACTTGATTCTTGCTGCACCTGCCACCAGTATGTCTGACCTGCTCCAGGCTCTCCTCTTGTCACCACCTCTACAGCCCTGAAACAGAAGCTAGTGGCTAACGGCCGTGCTTCTGAGAGCCCGGGTGGTTTCTAACCTAAGATAGGGAAGCCACCCTAATAGGTAGGTAATTTTTCACCAAGTCATCCCTTAAACGTCGATAAAATTCACCTATTTTGAGGCATGTATGGTTGTTAATTGTTTCCATGTGGCTGTAGATGTTTCATCCATTTTCAATTTGTTCAGCCAGATTAACAACCCAGTACTAATGTTTAAACTAGCAAGCCTCAAAAAGACTTCATTTCTCCTCTAAATAATATGGGGTATTTGTTTGGGTAATTTCAATCAAAGAAACTTTTGGGGGACAAATATTTATCCCATAAGCCTGTTGAAGTTAGAACAAAAATAGTAACATTCATGATAACATGAACGTCAAGTCTTCAGTGTCTGCTAGGCACCAAATACGGTACATGGTATTCAGCTTTTGGCTATATATAAATATATACCTCTAGAGAGTTTTGTATATAGTTTATATCAGTGGTCCCCAACTGTTTTGGCACCAGGGACCAGTTTTGCGGAAGACAATTTTTTCACAGACCAGGGTCAGCAGAGGGGGTGACTGTGGGACGATTCGCATACATTACATTTATTGTGCACTTTATTTCTATTATTATTGCATTATAATATATAATAAAGTCATTACATAACTCACCATAATGTAGAATCAGTGTGGTCGCTGAGCTTGTTGTCCTGCAACTAAACGGTCCCATCTGCAGAGACAACAACGGGGAATTAGACGCTCATCTAGGAGCGTGCAACCTAGATCCCTTGCACATGTACTTCACAACAGGGTTCCTGTGCCTATAAGAATCTAATGCCTCCACTAACCTGACAGGAGCTCAGGTGGTGATGCAAGCAGTGGGAAGCAGCTGTAAATACAGATGAAGCCTCGCTTGCTCACTGCTCACCTTCTGCTGTGTGGCCTGGTTCCTAATAGGGCACAAACTGGTACCAGTCCATGGCCCAGGGGTTGGGAACCTGTGGTTTATATACTTATATGTAGTTAATATTAGTTATATATGTAGTTTTATATGTATTGTTATATTTTATATATACATATTTATCTCACAACATCTTTGCAAGTTAGATAGCAGATAATTATTTCCCCTTTACAAATAAACAAAGGATGAGAGCCTCAGTGACTTTCCCAGGGCCACTCATTATCAGAGCCAGGACTAGATTTCAGGACTGTCCGTACTTTCTACCCTACCCACTGCCTCTCAATCATAATTATACCAAGAGCCTCAACTTCACAGCCAGCATCTATGCCCTCATACACATCAAAGCACTGAGAATACTCAACAAGCCAAATGTGAAAATTCCCTTTGTCATGAACGTTCTTTTGGTCTGAAATAAGAATTCTGGAGCTTGAGTGAATCCAGCCTCCTTCTTCCCACGTGACCAGGAGATCTTGGTCTCATGGCCTAAAGTGGTTGAACAGTTCGATACTGGAGTCAGATTATCTAGGATTTAAATCCTGCTTTCGTCATTTACTAGCTACAAGATGTTGGGCAAATCACTAAACCTCTCTGAACACTCAGTTTCCTGATCTAAAAGAAAGGGGAAAACTAATAATGTCTGCCTCATAGGATTATGGTATGGGAAGAGTTTCTACATGTAAGGCTCCTGTGGCTAGAGCTATGATAAATAAACGTTAGATACTGTCATAATTAGCTGTCTGAAGGCTTCTGCTTCAGGAGCTGTTAGAACCATCTTACATGGCTTCATTCTTACAGACAGAAATCTGTAAGAATAGAACATGATACCTTTACATTATTGGGACAAAGCTTTTACCCTTGATCCCACCCTGTCCACCACCCACAATGCCACAACCCTCTCTTCCTCCTCTGCAAAGAGAAGCCATCCTCCAGGCTTTAATAAGCGGGGAAATGAAAAGTTGCAGCATTGACCCAGGTTGTGTGTCCCAGGCTTGCCCTGAGAGGTGTCACTCTCATCAGCTCTAGGACCTTCTGCTTCTCAGTCCACATTACTAAGCATTTCCAACCCCCATTAGGCTTGTTCTGGGGTCTAAAGAATATACATTTGACTGATTTTACTCCACATGTTCTTCCTTTCCTCCTCTTTCTCTCCCTGCCTCTTCTCCTTCCCTGCATGCCCCTTCTTCACTTTCGTATCTAGGATAATTAAGTTATACTTTGACCTATGAGTGCTCAGAGCTGGCCAGCACTATCTGCTGCATTATCTATATCTCCATCCTGGTTCAGAACCAAGTGTGGACTGGAAGGGAGGACTTGAACTCTCCCATCCCAATAAATATTTTCTGATCACAATGCTCTTTGTGCAACATCAGATCTTCACTGGTTTCCTAGGGCTGCCATAACAAATGATCACAAGCTTGGAAATTTAAAGCCTCCAAAAAAGAATCCTTCCTTGCTTCTTTCAGTTTCTGGGTCCAGGGATTCCTTGGGTTGTCTGTTTCCTCCTCTCTTTATCTTTTCCTTATCTGCCTCTTATAAAGACATGTGTCACTGGATTCAGGTCTCACCCTGATAATGTAGGATAATCTCATTTCAAGATCCTTAACTTAGTCGGACAGAGGTTACTAGAGGGTGGAAAGGGTGGGACAGAAGGTGGGGTGTAGGTATAGGTATATTGTAAAGAATATAAAAACTCAGCCAGATAGGAGGAGTAAGTTCTGGTGTTCCATAGCGCTGTAGGATGGCTGTGATTAACAATAATATATATTTGCAAAGAGGGGGATGAGAGGCTATTGAATGTTCTCACATAAAGAAATAATGTTTTAGATTATAGATATGCAAATTACCACAATCTGATCACTATCTATTGTATATTTCAAAACATCACTCTGTATCCCACAAATATGTACAATTATGTGTCAATTTTTAAAAATCATTAACAAAAATATTCTTAACTTGTTTACATCTACAGAGACTCCTTTTTCAACTAGATTAACACTCACAAGTTCCAGTTGGGCGTGTCTTTTGGGGGCCACCATTCATCCCACTCCAAGATTCTAATGAGTCCCATGAGACCTGTGGCAGGCCTTTCATCACCCAGCTCACCTCCCTCCTCCATCAGAACAATGCCAAGAACTGGAGAAAACCTTCCGTTCCATCCCACAAGCCAGATCTTCCCATTCCATTCCTGAAACTCCACATTTTGCAGAAACCCAACCCTGGTAGAGGAGGTTATGGGAGTAATGTAGGGAAATAAAGCAAACTTCCAGGAATAAAAATGTCCCCTGGTCTCCTCCCTAAGTCATTGGCTTCCTGTGGAACTGGGATCACTGCATGGGACATGCTGACCATCCCATTATTCACTCTCTCCAGCAAGGCCAAGGCTGGGGAATTGGCAGAATTTGGCACTTTCCAAAAAAACATTTACTATTTACCTTCTAGTAACAAAATTTACATTTTCAGATAAATCTAGGAAGTGCTGAGTTAAATAAATTCAGGCAGGCTTCTATATTGCAGGACCGGAGCTCTCAGTACGATATACTACGAATAGACGTAGAAATAATTTGCATCATTTCCTAAATTTACTGGATTAGAGAACCTCTTTATTTGTGAGGCATCTGATGGCCTTGGTGCTTTTCCAAAGACACAATGGGGGACTCTAGTTTAGGTGATCCTATGCAATAAGTAGCTGTCCAGCCATCAGTGACATGTAAATCAAAACTACAAAAATATACCTCTTCACACTCACTAGGATGACTATAATAAAAAAGGCAGTAGCAATCCTAATTGTATTTGTGGGGATGTAGAGCTACGTGGGCCCTCATACTTAGCCAGTGGAAATGTAAAGTGGCCAGCTGCTTTGGAAAAAAAACTCGGCAGTATCTTAAAAAGGTCAAATTTACCTTATGACTCAGCACTTCCCACTTCTAAAAACATGACATATGTGCACACATAAATGGTTATGACAGCTTTATTCATAATAGCCCCAAACTGGAAACAATCCAAATATTTATTTGCTGGTGAGCGGATAAATAAAATGTGGTATATATTTATTGGCCAGTAATAAAAAGGAGGGACATACTGACACGTGTGAACGTCGAACACATTATGCTAAGTGAAAGAAGCCAAACACAAAAGACTGGATAGTATATAATCCCACTGCTATAAAATGCTCCAAAAGGATACATATAGAGAGACAAAAAGCAGGTAGTGGTTTCCAGGGATTAAGGATGGATTAGGGATTAACCGTAAATGGGCATGAAGGATTTTATTGAAGTGATTAAAATATTCTAAAACTGAATTGAGGTCATGACTGTATAACTCAGTAAATTGACTGAAAATTAAATCACACACTTAAAATGGGTGAATCTTGTAGTAGGTAAACTATACCTCAATAAAATTGTTTATAAAATGTGCTCTCATGGATTGATGAAATAAAATGGTATTAATCTACAAAAGACACCTATCAGGCTATTTTCTCAGCCCTGTGCTTGTCCAAATGAAGATGCTGAGCATCTGCTTTGGAATTAAAGTCTCAAGAGTCAAATTTTTCATCACACTTGGGAAAGCTGAGCAAGCTGCATCAAGTACCTAACCACAGAACACCTACCTGTGTTTTGAAGGAGACACTGAAGTCTTTTCTATTGAAAAATGTGCCCCATGGAGAGGTACTTGCAAACTGAAAATACTTGTGATGAATCCCTAATTGAACTCCGTACCCTGGACAAAACAAGACCCAACCCATAGAATTTATTTAAATGGTGGAATTGATTAGAATTCCAGGACCAATGTGAGAGAAGTTCTAAGGGAGAGAGATTGGGCTCTTTGATCTGCCTGGTTCCACTCTGACTTCATTCTAATTAGCAAAGCTTTTGAGGCAGACTGATAAGCATTCTGGGCACCGCACATGTCTGGCCACTGACTAATTAATTAATTTTTGACTTTGAACAGTGACACTTAATTCGAAAACTTTCTATCATCCATGGATGAATGTGGAAAAGTAGGGCAAAAGATTTAAAAATATGCTAAAGGTGCCATTTCAAATCCAGCTGATTTCCAAGAGGGCAAAATGGGTCAGTGAGTTAAATAAAGAGATGGACAGTGGAGAAGGGCCAGGGGAGTGTGGGCTATGCCAGCTCTGCATCCTCTGCGCTGTGTGTGTGGGTTTAGCCATTGGTTCTCTCTGTTTTCTCAGTGTTCTCTTGGTCATTTTATTTGAAAATTAGGCATCTCCTCAGCACCCTCATTTATTGAGAATTGACTTTGTGCACTGCCCACAGAGAGTAAAGAGACAGAAAACAAAAACCATTTACAGAGAAGAGAATGGGAGGGTGGACAAAACTTATAAATGTGCAGAGAGGTTTTTTAAATGAACACTGTTCAGATCAGAGGTCTGCAAACCACATCCCAAAGGCCGAAGCCAGCCTGCCACCTGTTTTCTTAAATATAATCTTGTTGAAACACAGCCACGCCCCCTTGTCTATGCATTGCCTAGGGTTTCCAAGCTACTGTGGCAGAGCTGAGTTGGTATGACAGAGACTGTATGACCCACCAAGCAGAAAATATGCATTCCCTGGCCCTTCGCAGAAAACGTCTGCCAGCCCCTGATCTAGACAGGGTCAGCATTATCCCTTCTTGGTGCAACTAAAGGGACGTCCAGAAACCTTTTTTTTTTTTTTATCTTGAAAGACCTTCTTTTTCTAACAAGGAGGGAGCTAACATTTTTCTTAGCACCTCTGTGTGCCTGGTACAAGGGCCCTTTCTCAAAGATA